AAAAGAAAAGGGTAAGATAGTTGTTATTTTAGTTTGTAAATACTTAAAAGATGCAGCTGGAATACGTGGTAATTAAATGGTGTTATGTTTTAAAAAGAAGAAGAGACAGAACTTGCCCTAAAATGCTTACCTCATAAAAAAACAAAACCGGAACTTGTCGAGGAAGCATTTTACCCGAAAATGAGACAACGTTTAACTAATGATGAAAGGACAAAATATTGTGTTATATAATAACGTAATGTATTGAAATGAATAAGATAATTATTATAATCATAATTGAACTGGACATATAAAAAAACAAAAAAAGAGGTGTCATCAAGTTGCTTCGCTGGCAAGTGCTAAACGTTGGACGACTTTGCCTGCAATAAGACTTTTTATTGTTGATGATGCTAAACAGCAAAATTAATCTTTTGTCCGAGTCCATTCGGACGCTCTCCCTGGCTCATATTGAGTATATGCTCCCTATCAGCTCTAGGTGAGTCCCACCACCATGGCTTTCTTTATCTTTCTCACTTGTTTTATATATATATATATATATATATACAATACTAATTTAAGTAAATAAGTGTTTTTCTTACCGATAACATTGGATCAATCAAATCTTTGATTCTAGTTTTATTACTCCATAAAAAATACTGGCATTTTTTCTTCTCATGATTTTTTTCAGCCTCATCGTTGGCATAACCCCCGTTGTGCTGGGGTTTAGTCGGTTATGAAAAGAGCCAATGACGAGGCTGGATCGATCGTTGAGAGTGCCCCAGATGTTATTGCTTGATACATCATTCGCAAGCTATTTATTGAATTTATTTATGTATTATACATTGACATTAATTATTTCGTTCAAAGCACTTCGCTGGAGGTGTTTGGTTGATCGATGTATGTCACCCTTCTCAGTTATCATAAGTGTCTTTTTCTGGCACTGATGAGCATCAATGGATGCCTTCTTTTCTTCCACTGCTTGGTGTACATGAGCTTCCTTAGTCTTTAGTTTCTCATGCTCATGTTGTCTTATGATTAACCACATAAAATATTTGTATTGGTAGGAAACAAATGTCAAAATAACGCTCATGAAAGGCGGTAAGAGTATTGTAAATGTAATATTTGTATTATGTTTCTCACATTCATGTTGTCTTCCATACCAAAAAAACGCTCAACATGAGATAGAAAGGAGCAGCAAAGCATATTAATGTATATGTAACATCAAATTTACCTTCACCCTTTTTAACCCCGTTTAAGATAATTAATGCTGCTCAACTTTGATGATCTTGCCTCCAACCTCATCCATCTATTTATTGGGATAGATTTCGGGTTGTAATAGTTCACCCAGTATTTATCGTTCGGATTTGTGGCTTGTTCCATTTAGAGATCAGGCGGATTAACTTTCTTGTCTTCGTTCTGGAAAAGAGACTCGAGGGTAGCTTGCGATCCAAATAGCTAGTAGAACCTCTTGACTTTGAGTTAGAGCTGCTTTAGTGGGAACAGAACGTCTTGACTTTCTTCTCATTGCTTTCCTTGAAGGACTTTCTCCCATCTCTGAATCAGTTACTCCAGACGAGAGACGAGCCTATCAAGGGCGAGCCAGATTTTTTTTTTATGTTGGGCTATAAACTGTTATTGATCCTTATTATAGACCTAAAGCTTGGAAATTCTTACTTAATTGTGATTTTTTTACACTCCTGTGATTCTGTTTAAATTCCTCTTCAAAACTAAGCGAAAACCTGATGTTGTTGAGAAGGAGAAAATAAAAACCCCATGGTACTTTCTTGAGTATTGATAAAGGTAAAAGATTGGATTTTAATAAATGATAGAAAACAAAATCCTTTTCTAAGGAGTGAGTTTTTACAAAACAAAAGGGAAAGTTTTATTTTTTATTTTAACAGATAAGTTTGTAGGAGATAATGTGTTCTTTACTGGGGCAAAACCCCGAAATTTTATTTTATTTTATTTTTATAAAATTCATAAAAATCATTACATCATATAAAGCTTCAAATAAAATTGAGTCAAAATAACAAATACACAACTAAAATTAACCCTATAAAAACATATAGGACTTAACAATAGTATGATTTCCAAAAAAGAGAAACAAACAAAGAATTAGCTGCACTTGCAATCCTAGGCCAAAGATCAGCACACTCCTCTCCAATTAAACCGGTAATTGCTGAGCTTTTCATTTCTCCTTTAGGGTTCACAATGACATCAACATTATCTTCAAAAAACATGAAAACACCATCCTTTCAGCACCAAGGCTTACGCCGCCTAACAATGACAGCAGGCATAACCTTCTTCCTGAGATCAAACTTCTTCTTTTTGAAAGTGGCCATTAATATATCACCAACGCAGGCAGAAGGCAAGCGGTTCAAGCGATTAATTCCCTTCACAGATATGATGTAAAGAGAGGGCGGAGCCAGAATTTTTTTTATGTTGTGCTATAAACTGTTATTGATCCTTGTTATACACCTAACTTAGAGCTTGGAAATTCTTATTTAATTGTGATTTTTTTACACTCATGTGATTCTATTTAAATTCCTCTTCAAAACCTAAGCGAAAACCTGATGTTGTTGAGAAGGAAAAAATAAAAACCCCATGGTACTTTCGAGTATTGATAAAGGTAAAAGATTGGATTTTAATAAATGATAGAAAACAAAATCCTTTTCTAAGGAGTGAGTTTTTACAAAACAAAAGGGAAAGTTTTATTTTTTATTTTAACAGATAAGTTTGTAGGAGATAATGTGTTCTTTACTGGGGCAAAACCCCGAAATTTTATTTTATTTTATTTTTATAAAATTCATAAAAATCATTACATCATATAAAGCTTCAAATAAAATTGAGTCAAAATAACAAATACACAACTAAAATTAACCCTATAAAAACATATAGGACTTAATAATAGTATGATTCTCAAAAAAAAAAAAAAAACAAAGAATTAGCTGCACTTGCAATCCTAGGCCAAAGATCAGCACACTCCTCTCCAATTAAACCGGTAATTGCTGAGCTTTTCATTTCTCCTTTAGGGTTCACAATGACACCATCATTATCTTCAAAAAACATGAAAACACCATCCTTTCGGCACCAAGGCTTACGCTGCCTAACAATGACAGCAGGTATAACCTTCTTCCTGAGATCAGACTTCTTCTTTTTGACAGTGGCCATTAATATATCACCAACACAGGCAGAAGGCAAGCGGTTCAAGCGACTCTTAATTCCCTTCACAGATATGATGTAAAGATTATGTAGGGAGAGTATTGAGTTTTTTAATAATTTTTTTTTAACCTGGGCTACAGCCTACTTTAGCCTCCTATACTCCTCCGCCCTTGGAGCCTATGCTAGTCGGGGATGACGCTTGAGTTTCTATTCGGGCATTTGGTGTTCGAGTAAAGAAGGAAAGAAGGGCCCCGGGTCAACTGGAGGGGGATCTTAAGTGAAACCCGAAAATCCCCAGGGTCTCCAACCTCATCCACCTCTAATGCTGCATAGATCTTGAACAAGCATGTCAAATTAAATGTTGCAGAAGTCCAGTACCCTTCATAGCTGCTTATGTCAAGTGGTTGTATCGAATGCTCTTCATCATGAGCATGCCCCAGGTCTGAACCTGGTTAGAACGAGTGGTTTGACTGTTATTACCTTTAGGGTAGTTGATAAAGAGGTTGGTTTGGTTAGATAAATTTCATAATGAAAGGAAAACATTGAGCTAAACATTGATTTTCTATAACCCGTTTGCGATGAATCACGGTTTGCAACGCGGTTAGGCGCTGTCATATGGTATATATAGTTCTAATTTTTCTGTTAATAGTGGATTGAAATAAGCTTTAGCCCTATAAATTTGATACTACTCAACATAGATGTCCTTTGCTTTCAAATAATAAAAAAACAACTGATTTCATCTGTTAATTTTCCTCATGGCCTGTAGAAATGTGTCTTTTGTTGCTGAAAATTGGAAGTTGGATCAGAGCCAGCCCATTCTGGTTGGGACAGAGAAACCTAAGCTGCTAGAACCAATATACCCTAGAAAAGTCTATCTATGTCCATGAGCCCAAGTGATCACAATGGTAATAGCGCACAGGAAGGCAGAAGCTCCATTATTATTTAAGGATGATAATAATTCTACATGTAGAAATACAAATAATAGATACACTAGCCTTCATAAAAATTCAGCCAATGGAAAATATGTTCACTTGATAGCTGATAATATATATATATATATATATATATATATATATATATATCTCCTTATATGGCAGAATAGCTATCGTCATCTTCTACAGGAGCCTGGCCAAGAACTGATAATATAACAAAGGCACCATATAACACTGTAACCACAGCAGTGAAGTTGACAAGCAGGGCCTCAGGACCATACTTAGCAATTCCAGAGCTTTCAAGGAATGTAAGCTTCTCCAAGAACCCTAAGGCAGCATTGCCAACAGCCAGAATATACACAAAGATGCCAAATAGCACATGCCAAGGGAGGCTCTCACTCCTTAGTGTTGGTGACCCTTTAGGGTAAAAGAATACAAGGAACCCATAAATCCACTGCAAATTAAATTACCATTTTTAAGACAAAGTTTTAAAATAAAATCAAAAGAAAGTCACTATAAAATAGGTTAAAATGAATGATTTACCTGAATACCATAAAGGGAAATGATGGTTATGCCAAGCCATGAATGCAAGCTGTAGAGGTTGGCAATGTTGCTCTCTTTATGATTCTTGAATGCAGCCGCAATGCCAACACAACCAAGAATTATTGCAATTGCATGGAGAACAAGATGGATCACTTTCTTCACTTCTTTCTTCAAAGGAAGAGATTTGTAGCTCATGATGGCTGTTTTTATTTATTTTTTGGGAAACGGGCGTCGAAGGAATAGTATTAGTAGGAAAACACAAGCAAGCAAATCTCTACCAACTAGCTGTGATGAAAATTCAAAAAGTTGTCCAATTACCTTCACCTCCAATGATAATTAAGCCAACTAGCATCAGAAAAGGATGGAGCTGTTGTAAGAAAACAGATACGAGATCCACATTACTAAAAAGATATATTTATATAAATATTGTTGTAGTATAACCAGTAATCATACTAGCTGCCTTTGAAGTGAAATTCAAAGCCCCAAACCATAAGAGCTTTACCCTGAAGCCTTGTTTTTGCTACCCATCGATGAAGAATGTGGTGGCCCTTTAATCCGAGACCCAAGAGCATGATAATAACAGTTTCATATGTAATCGTTGACAATAACTCTTTCTTGCTTACAGATCAACGGTACTACTTTTCAATGACTAAATTAACACATGGGAAAAGGTTTAAAACTCGAAAAAGATTGCTGTTTCTTAGTTTTTCTCTTGATTTCTTTTAGAACACTTGTTCTTCCTGTTTGGAAGTAAATGGTCCGTTTTCTAGCCATGGAAAGAAAGCTCCAAGCTTGCACGAAGATAAAGATTTTCGAAAGATGGGACCAAGAAAACATTGGACAAATCAATTGCTGTTCGAAGCATGACCTCCAGAGAAAGGTGGGTGCAAATGACCATAATATTGGACAAGGTCTTGGAATATTGTTCATGGATAAAGTACAATTTTTGGTGGGCCTAAAACACGTGAGTGCTTAGACAGGTCCACATATGATGTCCTCATCCACTAATTTTCCAAAATAAAATAAAACATTAACATATCGTTTTAAGGAAATCAACCCCAGCTAAAAAATGTTTTTTCAAAAATTTTAAAGATAAAAAAAATTAATATAACTTTTTTTTTATTAAAAAAATCATTTGATATAAATATTATTTATTTTAATAATTTTAACCGATGTTAACATATTTCTCTTTTACCCATGAAATTCAACAACCTCTCTCTTCTTTATTAACCAAAAACTAAAAAAATAACAAAAGTGTACTTTTACATCAAAATTAAACTTGAAAAATATTAAAATGTTCAAATTATATAAATTTAAGTTATTTTTAAAATTTAAGAATCAAAACTCATCATTTTAAAATTTATAACAGGCCACCATTTTTAATGCATTTTTTATTTAGATTTCTTTTCTTTCAATATAACAGGCCACCATTTTTAATGTATTTTTTATTTAGATTTGTTTTCTTTCAATCTCACTATTTTATAAAAAATCAAAATCAATTAGTCTTTAAAAAAGACAACATTATCAAGATAAAAAATTAAATTGAAAAAAAAATTACAAAGTCCACCAACAATAATATGTGAACAATATGTGAGAGGATGAACAATAATATGTCATGTAAAATGAAAAATTCATGCTTTAAGTCAAATATTTTTTATTTTTCATAAAAAACATATATGCAAGTTTTTCAACGTATTTTGTAGTTCAAAGAATTTAAATGCAAATAAAAAAATTTATGCACGGCTATAATCAAATAAGCTGAAAACCATGTACAATAATAAATAAATTAAAAATCATTAACACCACCTAAAAATAAAACTTGAAAACTAATGAACAAATATTAATCAAGATATTTAACCTTACAAGGCAGGACATTTACCCAATCATGTTTGTTAATTTTTGTTCATTAAAATATTTTTTTTATCTAATCAAATAATAATAAAAATAGATAAACATATTTAATTGATATATTTAATTGATAGAATAAAATAAAACAAAAAAATGATATGCAAGGCAACACATTTTATAAATATTATTTAAAAATAAATATTTTTTTATTTTCAAAAATATAGTTTATTTATTCAAAAGATAAAAAAAAATCATAGATGAATAAAAAACCCTTTAAGAATAAACACATAACAAAAAAATAACCATAATTAAAAAAAAAACTCTCTAAACAACATAAAAGTGAAAAGGGTTATTAATGTAAATATAAACTTTTTTTAAAAAAAAAAACATTAATTAAAAAAAAAAAAAGTCAGACGCTGCTACGACATCTTAGCTAACCCGTTTCATCAGGGCCCACATACAAGCCTACTGGGGTAGGCCTACATGACTAGGCTCTTGTTTTTAACAATACCTAAGACGGACAACATTTGGTCCACTTTTTTTTGGAAAAAAAATTTAAACAATGCGTTATCTATTTTGCCCATATTTCAACTACCGTGGTGAAAATCAAGCTCAAAGTTTTTTTACCCAAAAAACCTGTTTTGATTCACAACATCTATAAAACACCTTAAAAACCATGATAAACCTATTCATGATCTCAAAAAACCACCCCACACACCAAACTCAACTCAACCAAAAATCAACCCGAACTTAGATTTGTTTTTTCATTAACATTTGGGAAACAAAGACATCTAATATGAACTTCACTCATCAAATAAAATAATTTGACACAAATATTATTTATTTTGGTGATCTAAATTGATATCAACGACATGCTTCTCTTTCTATCGTCGGAATCAGACGATCTCTCTCCCCTCTCTTAACTAGAAACCAAATAGTACAAAAAAAATAAACTTTTGTTCCAAAATAAAATTGAAAAAGTATTAAGGGATTGAAATTGTATAATTTACACAATTGTTTAAGTTGGAGGACCAAAGAACATTTTTTTTTCAAAATTTATGAACACAACTCATGTTTTCCATGTTTTTCATTTTAATCCTTCATCTTCCAATCTCATTCTTTCATAAGAATTCAAAATCAATTGCTTTTTAATTGAATAAATCACCCAAAAAAATAATTTGAGGACCAAATTAAAAAAAAATATAAAGTTTTGCATAGTGCATCCACAGTAGATTATAAGAAAATAAACAGTAGAGGCAATGCACAGTAATAAAAACACCATGACATTTAATTAGGTTATTTTATTGTGCTTCACGTGGGAAGGACCGGTAAGGGGGGCTGGGGGGCATGGCCGTGTGCGCTGATCCGAAGGTTAGGTAGGGTAGGTGCGTGCACAAAGGCCGCTATGGTTTTGATATGCAATGTATTTCTTTCTTATTTTTACCTTGAAGGTTTATAAATAAACTCCCCCCAGATTAATAATTATAGCACGGATTACTCTTGAATCCAGTAATTAACGGTGAGATATTGCTAGCTAGCTAGCTCGCTTAATTATCTCTGGTCTCAATTAAGCTCTGTGCGCTCTACTGCTTTTCTAGTTAGTTAAACTGAATATTTACTGTTTCTTTCTTCTAATTGAAGCAATTAAGTCACTAAATATATATATATATTAAAAAAAAAGCATCCATTTCAGTCCCCAATTTAATGATCTCAAAGCATCTTTAACACTTTTGTAATAACCTAAAATGCCAAAAATCATCGAAGACTGCAGGCATCCTACGGCAATCCCTTTTGAAATGTTCCAATGCCTACCAAAAAGCCAAGATTCTCGTTCCATTAGCCAAATAGAGCCTGTTGGTTAAATCTTTACTGTTGTTTGGAGCCGTAGAGTATTAAAACTCAATGTGTTCGACTAACTTGTTTGTTAGCCTATAGCTAGGTAGCTAGCCAACAGGGCCATCTCAATTGACTAGAACCAACAAGTCTTCGCTAAGAAAAAGGGTTCCCAAATTCCAAACCAACAGCCCTTAACACAAGCAATGACACAAAAATCCTGATAATAAACATGAACCTAGATAAGATCAAAAACCAAAAGGTTGCTGTTGAAAACTAAGGGCAAGACAAGAGATAAGCACAGACACACAGACAAACAAAAACCAACCAAGGATCCATATAACCAGGAAAGCAAAACAGAAAGACAGATACACACACAGACATGTGTATAGACAAAGATGAGGGCTAGAGGCTTACATTGAAGATGAGATTCTTGTTGGAAGCTTCCCATGCCATGCCACCTCTATAGTATAAAACCCATACCAAGACCATAACAGCACCCGCAATTGCAAGCGCGTGTGCTAAAAACGTTAGCGGCAGTGCTCTAAAAGCCATAGCCTTGGTTGAGTCTTCTTCTCCTAGTTCAAAGCCAAGTTGGGGAGAGAACAAAGGAAGAAAGCCTTTCTTCGTGTCGGGGGGATACGTCTTTTATTATATTGTTTCGACCAGATATTTGATGCGATTATGACCGTTGGATGGAGATATGATTGTGCCACGTGGGTCTGACTGACTTGATGAATGCCTTTTTTTTATCGTGACTCGTGTTACCCAGAGTCTCAGCCTCGTGTCCCCTCCGGATCCCTGTATTTTTAGTCGCTTTATTTGAACTCCCCTCTCCCATTTAAAATGTCTAATATTGAATTTCTGTAGTTTATCAAACATCATTATCAAGCATTTTCTTAAAAATACAATTTTTTAAAGTGTAAAAGACAATACATCTTGAGATTAATTAAATAGATGAATAAGATCGTATTTTTGTATTTCTATGTGTGTTTTGTTCGTTTACACATTTTGAAATAAATTAAATAGTTGAATAATATCATTTTTCTTTTGTATGTTTTGTTTATTAAATTTAATGTTATAAAATCTGGTTTTACGAGTCAATTTGATGCCTTTTTAATTCAGAAGCTAAGCATATTTGGACTCAAAAAAAATAAAAAAAAATTAGCCTGAAATGGCATGATAAAAAAACCAAGATATCCCACGATCTTGCATAAATTCCAATTAAAAATCTATTAATTTTTTTTTGTAAATATCATTTTAATCTTTAATTATGAAAAAATAATAATAACTTACCCTAAATTCCATTAACATCAATGAAGCAAACACAATATATAAAAAAATGCTAGCTAATTTCCTATTTAATTTGGATTTTTTCACTCACAAACAACTTATTGAAACCACTCAATACAGAATTTAATCTTACTCTCAATATTACATATAAATTATCTTTTTTTTAATATAAAATACAAAGATCTGACAGATTTTATTCAAGACTTATTACTCAAACCACTGTCTGGAATTAAAAATATAATCTCATATTATTTTATACGTGGATTTGATCACATGAATCATTCTGAGAACAAGTATATTTAGCTAGATTTATTTATTATGTAAAAAAATAGTGGGAATCCAATGTAATGATATTAAAGAAGAAGAAAAAATATATAAAACATTCATCTAGCATCATTCTGTCATAGCCTTTGTAGAAAAGAGTCAAACAGGTGACAATTCTATAATATATCGGGGCCTACCGATACAGGAATTCGAGTTGGTGTGAGGTTTCAAGCTCTGATTGCTCCGTTTTCCTTTTCTCCCGTGATCTGTACAGTCCCATTTGGTTGTGTATTTAACTAAAACTAATTTTTTTATATTAATTAAAAAATTATCACAAAACCATTTCAATTATTATTAAATAAAATCTTAAGTTTATATTACTGTATAAAAGACTTTCTTGAGTGAAAATTTTTTAAATTTAAAATTTACATAAACTAGTAATATTTTATATTTAATTTTTATTAAATAAATAAAAATAATAAAATTTATATTTGTAATCATTGAGATTCTAATAACATGTTTTAAATTATTAAATGAAATTTTAAAATATAATTTATATTATTTTTAAAAAAATTTAATTCCAACTTTTTACTGGACAGGAGAAGGGAGGTTGATTCCATCTTGGTGCACAAGCTGTCCAAGCATATCATCAGCTGTAGAGAAACAATAAATGAAAAGATAGGCAACGTTTAGGCTAGAAACACGAAAAACTTGTCTAATTAGAGTTCAAGAAAATGGGGCGATGCAGGCTTTTCCACGAAGAATCATAGCACTTTTCCATGTAGAACAAGGGGAAAGTTTGATGTTGATGATGACAGAATGTCCAGGAGGGTCTTGTTAGCTGTGAGATCTTGATGGGTCTCGATGAAATGGGTGCAGGAAGATATTGAAACGACACCGTAATAGGTCGCTGTCGCGGGGTATTATCAGCTGAAGTCATGCGTGACATCAATTGAAGAGCAGGACCTTCAAATATCATGTGATCTAGTTGGAGGAGGATCCATCTTTTTACCAAGGTGGAGGGGCTATAGCTTAATTACTTTTATTTTATTTTATTTTATTTTGATTAAGTGGATGCTCCCTCTCGTCAATGCAATGATCACTGTGTCATTCTTAGATCATGCTAGATAATCTAGTACTTTATTGGATTATTTTGAATACATTGTATTAATATAAAAAATATATACATTTTTTAAATCATCTGAAAAAAATAATATTATTAGCTGACTTGAATATCTTTGCTGTTGAATAAACAAAACCTATAGAACATTTTGTCAATTGATTTTGTTTCCGTTAATTTTATTTATATATATATATATATAAAAAAAAACCTAAGAGTGATAAGTGAATTAATGTGTGTGCGTCTTCATTGATTGCAGTGTGGATTGCAGGAGCGAATTCCAGTAGCCAAAGCCGGCCTCCCTTGCCATTGTTGAAGATATCTCCGCGTACCCTTCCTTTCGGGATACGTTTGGCTAGCTAAAATGAGTTTCATAATGTTAATTAAAAATTAATTTTTTTATTTTTAATTAAGTTTAAATTTAGAATTTAATAGTTTATAAGATTAAGAAATTATCTTATATTTACAAGATTTAACTTGATTTTTTTTAAGATCATATTTTTTAATTTCATTATTTAACATTTTATTTATTTTAGAATTAAGCTTTATTAATTTTTATTTACATTTTATAAGATTTTTCACTAACTTTAAAAATAATTATAATTATCCCAAATATTTTTATTTACCATTCTTTATTAAATTATATTTTTATAAATAAATTTTGTTTGTTAATCAAATCAAATTAATTAATTAAATATAAATATGCAATATTTATTTCATAATATTTTATTTATTTATCTTATGGGTCATTACTTTAGTGACACCTAAGAATTTTTAAATATCATCATGTAACCTTTCATGGTGACATTAAAACTGCTTCGATGATCTCCTTTTAAAGACCGGAGATAATAAGTCTATGACTAGATTTTTTTTAATATAATATTAATAATTTATTTTTTTATAGTTAATTTTTGCAAAACAAGATTTTTATCTATTTCTTGTCATTGCTTATATATATATATATATATATATATCATATTATTAAATTAATCAAGTGTATTAGGTCTAGTTAACTCAACAACTCAAGTTTTAATTTTTTTTCTTTAAAAATATTATCATCACTTAAATATTATTTTTTTTATCAGAAAAAACTTGATTTAATCCATAACTTAATGCGAGCCATCAATTTAGTCTACTCCAAAGAAAAACATATTTTTTTGATGTAATGGTATCCTAGTATTATTTGAGATTTTTTGTTAAGGGATGTTTGAGAGTTTGATTAAGATTACTTTTAAAAGCATTTTTTATGTGGAAATTGATTAAAATTATATATTTTTTATTTTTTAAATTTATTTTTAATATCAGAACATCAGCACGTCAAAATGATACAAAAATACAAACAAAAAAATTAAGTTGAAGATAAAAAAAAAAAAATTTAATAAAAATTAGTAAATTGGGCCCAAGTTTTTTTTTTTAATAAAAATTAGTAAATTGGGCCCAAGGGCCAAATGTAGCCCATCTAGCCAGAGATAAGACTTAGATCAGCAGTTAAAAGCCCATACGAAAGGGCATGGAGAGGAGGCCCAGCCAGAAAATCCTACAGCTTCAAAATTCAAAGAATCAAGCATAGACACTAACTGCACCTTTCATGGACTGCGACCAAGATTAGTTTATACAGAACAGTGCCTTCATTAGATTAAATCTCGAAAGAAAATCTTAATCTAAGTCTCTAAGATCCAGATTTCTGTTCTACTTTTAGGTCAACGCATTTTTTAATCTCTTTCAAGGCCCTTTGGTCTCTCTTACTTAAATTTCTTGACTAATTTCTTATGCAGCTAAACAGGCTCTCTAACAAAAGATGTGCTTGTGCCTTCCAAGACATAAACAGTAAGTTTATAAAGAAATATTATATCATGAACATGGGCTAGTTTGGCCTTTTTCTTTTTCCTTTTCTTATCATAATACGTACATGAAGTATATTTCATGGCAAACACACTACCTGCACCCTGATCATCCTATATTTGCATCGAAAGTGAAGTGAAGCAAATCTTCCTATCTAGTTTACGTTACGTATGAGGAAATATTCTCACTTTCAATATTGGCACGTAGCAGGACTTCCATCGTTTTCAATGAAAAAAAAAAGACAGAAAAAAGAGTTAGCATGCAAACATCATACATGGTTCTATCTCTCTATGCATTTATTAATTCACCATGTATTCTATATATTTATGATGTTGAAGGGTTGTTTTCTCGGGGAACATGGTAGGAAAGGTCTACTTTGCTTACTTATAACAACATGGAAAGGAAAAGGAAAAGGAATCATCCTTCTCAATTGAATTCTTCGTGTTTTGTATACTTTCAATCATTGTATATGAGCACTAGTACAGGAAATTTGAGGTTAACCCATAATTTAATCATTGTATATGAGCACTAGTACACAGGAAAATTTGAGTGAGGGACAAACAGAAGAAAGAGAGCACATGTAGCCACATGCTAGCACACATTCACAGATCAACTTAGCTGGGGGTTTTGACCACAAACAAGGCACCAAAAAATTAATGGGGCAGCGGCTTTGCGGGTCTTCGCAGATACGGGAGACGATAAGGATGCATCAACCCTTCTGCGACAGCTTTGTGGCAGCTAATAAATTTCAGGGCCCTCTCTTTTGCCCCACCATTGTCTAAGAGCTCGTACCGAACACTTATTTTCCCTCTCAACTAACACTCCAATAATCTTGCTCTGTGATATCCGTGATCCTCTTTATAGTTTCATTTCAGCAATCTCAATAATGCAAGTATGATTGCAGTTTCAATATTCTTAATGCACGGTCTAACATA